ATCTCCTCACCACGTAGGGCTCTCCCTGCTCCAGAAACACCTCTAGTTCTTAACCAAATCCGAACCTTTCCATCCTACATCCCTCTCTCAGCCTCTCAGCTGAGGCACCGTCCCCTTCTTTGTTCGTGGATGCGTTAAAATTTATTAAAAACCGCACAGTCCTGGGAGCAACCGGGTAAATTTGTGAGAACAAATCCTCAAAAGGACGGGCTGCCAGCATGGTTGGTTAAGGCACGAGGCGTTTTTTTCTTTAATGCAGGCAGATGCAGAGCTCTGCACTCTGGGAGAGGAATTACCGACCTGTGGGGAGTGGAGGCTCTGAGGAGGTGTGAGTCCCAGCCAGAGAAGCAGGGAGAAGCAAGGAGAGCTGAACGAAAGCAAAATGAGCCAGGCCAGCCCCAGGGCAACAGTCCGAGGGTGAGAGAGATTTTAGGAAGGACAGGTAGGGCATGAACTATTGATGCTGGATAAACACATATTGGAGAGGCTTCAAGCACGAGGCTGGACCAGCAGCAGGAGGAAGGAGGGGCAGCAGATGCTGATCCCAGGAGCCCCCGGCTGTGCCTGCTGCCCTCCTGGGGCACAGATTATCCAGCACTCGTTTTGGTGGCACTGATCCTGCGGCACAGAAGCAGAAATCCTGCAACATCCTGCGCTTGGGAAGCCAGCAAGAGTTATTCAGGGGCGAGGATGGCATTTCACAGGACTCGAGGAGCTGTAGAAGCGAATTCAGAAAATCCTGCTGAACAGAACCGGGTGGTATCGCCGCAGCGAGGCACAACAGCACCTTGGGGATCTGCTAAAGGTTTGGTACCTCGCAGTCAGTGCCTGTGGTATCATCACAAAATAAATGCTCACATTTTAATGAGTCACTGATGAGCGATTCCAGCTGCTCAGCGTGGTGGATCCGCAGTCCTCAGCTATGTTTCTAACCCCTTCAGCCAGCGAAATGCAGCCTGCCTGAGCAGACGTGCTCTTCACCCAGCCTTGCAGTGTGGGTTCTGCCCCTGCCCATCCCAGTCTCTATCCAAAATTCTGTAGTTTGCCGCCCTCCTTGTATTGCTGCAAGGATTTTTGCTCTCTGCTTTCTAGCTCAGCAGCCATTTGTGGTTTTTATTGATGTCTTTAGCATCACTTCTGTCCTGCACCTCTTCATTTCTGGCTCATGTTGATTCTCCTCCCACCCTCCCCGGCCTGGCCGTATTGCTTCGGAGTCCGACTGCTGTCCCTGGAGAAAGGGTCTCACACCTGGGGGCAGGCTGCTGGGATTTCTGTCCTTCCTTGAGAATTCCCACTCATTTTTCACTCTTTTCTACTTCCCTTTTTCCTCCCCATTACTTCTTTACACAACTTTTTCAACCCGGTGAAGGCAGAAGCCTAGATGTGCAGGGATGTGCACCGAAGCCTGAAGGTCCGCTCGTTCCCAGTACCTTTGGAGATTTTGTTCTTGGCCTTCCCTTGGTGAGATCTGAGGCTGTTCCTGGGGCAGTGTGCGTTCACGGTGAAATTCAAGCAGCTGGGGAGATTCATTTGACCTGGTAGCAGGGGCTGAAGGTGGCTGCCAGCGAGTGGAGCGGTGCCCGGTAACACATCCCTTCCATCCACCGAGGTATCGGCCAGAAAAAGGGTGGCAGGAGCCCAGGCTGTGGTGGCAGCTTTCCTATTAACAGTGTATGTTAAAAGGTGCTTGTGAAACGCGTGTCGTATTGATTTCAAAACAGGTTTACGTTCCTGGAAAAGGGGGTGATCATGCTAATCCAATCAGCGCAGACTCGGGAGGACAGAAGTCCTTTTATATTACCTTAACTAGCCGCGTGGAGCAATAACAATGTCATCCCTTGTCAAAGCTGACGGCTGATGACATTCTGCAGTCCCCAGCAGGTGATGCGGGCTGCCTCCTCTTGGTGAATCCCGGGCTATTTCGGTGCTCAAACGGGGCCGTGGAGAGGTGTAAGTGCGGTGGCAAATTGCATTTAGCACTCCGGGGTTGTGCAATCCCTCCCCGGGCCTGCCTGCCGCCCAGAGCCCCTCTGGTTCGAGGTGATGTCCGTGTGCCCACCCTCAGCAGCATGCCCACTCTAGGTTTGAGGATTTCCAGTCTTTTTTTTCCTGGGATTTAGTTTCCTTCACCAATGAATCGTCCTGGTTTTTCCCCCATTAGACGTGGACAGGGCCCTGCAGGGGGTGCCACGTGGGAGCGGGGTGCTCCCCACGTCCTCCTCGGTGTGCAGAGGGGGTGTTTGCTGAGCCCAGGCAGATGCAAGAAGCGATCCCTTAGGATTTTCCATCCCTCCTGTGGCTCACACTGTGCTGAGGATGGGCTGTGTGCCCCAGAGGAACTAGAGAAGTGACACAGAGAGATGGCTGCAGGATCAGGCCCTGGCTGGGAACCTTAATTATGGGCCAGCTGGGATAGGGAGTGAGGATGGAAGGCACGGAGCAAGGGCTGAGGACAGGGGGCAAGGATGGAGGACGGGGAGCAAGGAGAGAGGACAGGAGCAAGGATGGATGACAGGGAGCAAGGATGGAGGACAGAGGGCAAGGATAGATGAGGAGGAGCAAGGATGGAGGATAGGAAGCAAGGAGAGAGGAAAAGGAGCTAGGATGGAGGACAAGGAGCAAGGAGAGAGGATGGGGAGCAAGGATGGAGGACAGAGGGCAAGGATAGATGAGGAGGAGCAAGGATGGAGAATAGGAAGCAAGGAGAGAGGAAAAGGAGCTAGGACAGAGGGCAGGGAGCAAGAATGGATGACAAGGAGCAAGGAGAGAGGATGGGGAGCAAGGATGGAGGACAGAGGGCAAGGATAGATGACAAGGAGCAAGGATGGATGATGGGGAGCAAGGATAGAGGATAGGGAGCAAGGAGAGAGGAAAAGGAGCAAGGGTGGAGGATGAGGAGCTAGGACAGAGGACAGGGAGCAAGGATGGAGGATAGGGAGTAAGGATAGAGGAAAAGGAGCTTGGACGGAGAACAAGGAGCTAGGACAGAGGACAGGGAGCAAGAACAGCACCACGGTGGGTTCCCAAACTGCCTCTCCCCAGAGGATCCCACTCGATGCTGCTGCTCCCCCCGCTCCCCCCGGTGCCGCCGCGGCGAGGACGGGGTCCCCGCGCCCGGCGCGTCCCGCGCTCTATTGACAGTTATCCGGAATCTGAAGGAATTCAAGACAAATTGTTAAGAGGACGGAGTTAATAAAATTTGAAAAATTGAGGCCTGTCACTCCACTAAACTTTGTTCGATACCGCTGACAGCAACATATTTCCCCAATGAGTGACCTTCCGCAGCTGCTCCAGCTAGGCGCCGCCGCGCGGGTGCCGGGCGGGAGCCGGCGCGCTATTTATCAAATATGATAAGCCGGGGCCTGCTAATGCGAGCGGGGAGGTGCAGGAGGGCCGGGGGAGGAGGAGACCGCCTCGCACAGCCCGAGGTGTCGCCCAGGTGTCCATCTCCAGCCCCAGACAGCTGGTGGGAGGTGACGGATTGCCTCCTATTAAGCCCGGCGAGGCCGGAGCCCGCTGGGCGCACGCGGAGGGGCCGAGGAGCCCCGGCCGTGGGCGGCCGCAGGGGTGGGCGAGGGCAGCGGGGAGGGGGCGGCGAGGAGGGAGGTCAGGCCGGGGCGGCGAGGAAGCGGTGGCCGTTTCGGCGTTGTATTAGCAGGCAAAGTGACACGGTTATTTATGGCGGCGTCATATTTTATTGCTGCCGGTACTGGAGGTGGCAATCGACCAGTCGCGCCAGTTCGGGTTCTATCAATTATTGCAGCAATTAGTCAAGTCGTCAAAGCCATTAACAGGGGGATTAGGCCAATATTGGAGAGCCATTATTGATAGATCCAGGAGAAGGGGAGAGCCGAGCAAACCTCAGCCTTCATTTGAGAGGAAAGCCGGCCTCGCCTCGAGGATGTCACCGCTCGGAGAGCCCCGGACCGGAGGGCACTGGGAGGATTGGGGAGGGGGCGAGCTCTGCCTCGCCTCTGCCAGGGACACGGAGTGGCAGGGCCCCGGCCCCGTGCAATCTCACCTGTCTCCATCATCTCCTTTATTCGCAATGACAAGGCTCGCAATAGAAATTACTCTGTGTCGAATGTTTATGGAGCACATTTTTCATTCTGTAAGCAAATATAGATCCCCGATGCCAGCGCCGGCAAGTGGCTAATCTCCCCTCTCTCAACCCTCTCTCCTCCTTCATATATTATGATTGCTGCTCGCTTTTATGGGTTTTAGGAGCAGAGCGTGCCGAGGTGGCCGCATCACCCCGAGGTGCAGCGGGGTGGGAGGTGTTGGCCACGCTGCCTGCAGAGCGGGGACCCCGCAGCAGCACCCGGGCAGCTTTTTGGCAGCTCCCATCCCTCTCCAATCCCTCCCTGCTGGGCACAGGCACTGGCAGGGCTCCGTGCCCTGCTGCTGGTCACCGTCACCCCTCTGGTTCTCAGGCTGCAGGCCAGCTGTGCCCAGCACCACGAGCAGCTCTCCTCAAGGCTGGGTGACTTCGGCTGCTTCAAAACTCCCCGCAGCAGTTCAATCTCTGGGGTTTGTTGTCTTTTTTTTTAATTTTATTTCTAAATAAGAGAGGGATTTTTCCCCAAAAGCTCACGGTGGCAGCTGCTCAGCCCACAGCCACCTCCAGCTCCAGCCTGGAATAACAGAGCAGAGGGATGGCGTGGCCAATTGAAGCTGCCGTGGGCCCATTTGGCTCACTGGGACCGGTGGCAGGCACTTTTTTCAGGCTGTATTTTCCTCTGGTGACTGTGCTCTCGTCCCCAGCAGCAGCTCTTCCCCACCAGGCCAGTTGTTGGGGTGACAGTCCCTTTTCTTGTTCCCTGCGCAGCCACACGTAACCACTGGGTGTACATTGTCCCCTTCTGATCCCAATACCCCTTGGAGCAGAGGTTAGGAGGGGACTCGGAGCAGCACGGGGGGCTCAAGGTGCACTTTGTGCTCGTTCTGCACCGAGGCTGAACTCTCCTCCCCTCACCTTTTTCATTTCCTCCTGCCCCCAGGTGCCAACCCCCTGCAGAAGAACGAAATGGGACACACGCCCCTGGACTACGCCCGCGAAGGGGAGATCATGAACCTCCTGAGAACATCAGAGACGAAGGTGAGCCCGAGTTACAGGTTACTTGCTCGTTCTTTTTCCACTATAAGAACAATTTTCAAGGAGGTGGGGTGCCTGCGGTGAAGGATTGCCCCAGCACACCTCCACGGGGTCATGCTGCTTTGGAAGAAGTCTGTGTAAATTGATGTCATGATGCAGAAAGGAGAAAGAAAAGAAGTTCTGAAAGAAAAGAAGTTTCTGTCCTGAAAGCCCTCGGCAAAAATCCAGTAAAATCGGGGTGTTCTTTTACATTATTTTCTGAAATTCCTGGAAATTCCTGGAAAAACAAACTCAGATTTTGCTGTACAGGCGTGGAATTTGAACTCGCCTGTTGGAAACCTGAGGTTAAAAACTCGCCCATGCGTGGAAGATGAAGGGAATTTAAACTGTGGCGATTGCTGCGTTTAGCAGATACCATCAAGAAGTAATCTGCCAGGCAGTCACATCTGCTGGACAGCCTGTGCTTGCCCAGGAAAACCCTTGCCTGAGTCTTAATTCAAAGCCACGTTCCCCAGCCAGAAAACTTGTGTCTGTAGCGTGGAGCTCGGCGCTCCTTCCCCTGTGCTTTCCGTGCTGGATCAGAGCAGGGAAAGTGGCTGCAGAGCTGACGGCTTCTGGTGAGCTGTGCTCGCTGGGGCAGCTCCCCAAGCAAGTTTTTAGGAAGGGAAGTTGAGAATAAAGTACTCGGGATCGTTGCAGGAGGAGGGAGGAGGAATTATCTGCTGGCTAAAGAGTCTCTGGGGTCCAGCCCCGGCAAGAAAACCCGCCCCAAACAGCTTGAAAAGCTGCTTTGGTTTTTATGCTTAACTAATAGATGAAGGGGAGAAAGGAAATATATCTGTAGAGATGCTCCCGATGAAGATGATTGGGCTTGTATATAAAACAAAAGACAGTCAAGGCAGCTCGTGATGAATATTCAGCTGGGGGGGATGCGGTGCTCCGAGGGCTGCATCCACCCCAGTCTCTGCGCTCCACCGAGAGTCTTTGAGAATTTATTGCTCATTTTAATCACTGCTGGAGAATGAATTGGCAGAACTATTACTGGATGGGCACATCCCATAGATTTTATTTACATATCCCGGTGACAGAATAACAAGGAGTTTTCATATGTATTTTTAATTTATTTTTGAGTTCCTTTATCCTTCTAAAAGAACTCCGTGCGCGCCTTCCCTGTGCTAGACCACGCTTGCTGGTATCGAGGTATCGAGGGTATCGAGGGCTCCTGAGCTGGCTCACGTTGCTGAACGCTGCAGGTGAAGTCTGAATAAGCTGTCGTGTGTATTACAGGGCTGAAAGGAAGGGAGAAGCCCTTGAAACTCTCTTCTGTGTGCACCTGGCATGAGAGCAGCCCCAGGACGAAGGCTTGCAGACTGATCTCAGTTCTTAGGGTTCTTCCTTTGCCCATTCAGTTGCTGCTCCCCAACACACCCGGCCGAGTGTCAGGGGCTGGAATTTATGTTTAGTGACTTCTCAAGCTTTCCTCAAAGATGATTTCCTCAAAATTTTCCTTCCCCTCGGTGCCGTAGCTAAAGCTCAGCTCTGGAGCACGTCGGTCACATTTGCTTTTCAGCCACCAGAACTCAGCAGCGTCCTCCCACCCCATCCCTCTGCTCTGAGTGTCACACTCAGGGAATCTAACGACTGCTTACAGTCCCAACCTGGCCACCCAGCGGGATTTCCTCTCTCTGTCAGTGGCTGCTGAAGGGTTTTTAAGAAAGGGATTAGCCCAGACGAGCACCTCGCTGCCCTTTCCCCGTGCTCCCTTCTGGCAGGCGGGGCTGTGAGGTCTCCCTGAGCTGGACCTTGTGTCTGCTTCATCACATCTGATAGCTTTTGGGGGAGCTTTGAAAGCAAACGAACATTTAGGTTCTAGTGCAAGCTGCTTTTTTCTGTGAAGTTTCCTCTGCTCAGCACTGCCCACAGCCACTGGCACACGAGGCTGCTGCTGGCACGGGGACACCGGAGCCGTGGTGGCACGGGGCAGCAGCAGGTTCCTCCAGAACACATCCTGAGCAGAAAACTAGTGGGAAAGCTTGGGAAAAGCACTGTGACTGTGCAGCAAAAGAAAGAAAGAAAGAAAGAAGGCAGGTGAGATGGTTTAACTGATGTGACCATGTTCATACAAAAAGTTCCTCGCTCTGCAGACCCTGTGGGTCAGCGTGGCTCTGTGGGACAGCTCTACCCAGAGATTTCCCCGAGGAGAGGCCATGGACCAGAGGCCACCTCTGGCCATGATGAAGAAAGGAGCTCAGCAGGAAGCTTTGCAGCACGTTCTAAAGATGCAAAGGGACTTTGGGTTTTGTCCTCTTTCCTCTAGAAATGCACTGCGCTGTTAGACCTGCCCCCGCTCCGGGCGTCTGCCAGGGTCCTGTCCCTGTGCATCTGAGATGTGCTTGTGCTTCCTGCTGAGCTGGAGGTGGAAGGAGGCAAACACCCCGAGGTGAGAGCTCCTTGCAGTGCTCCCGGTGTCTGACATCCCCGGGGTGCAGAACAGGGCACTGCAGTGCTCCTCGTCCCGCTCGGGGGTGTTGTTTGAACAGGAGGTGCTGGCAGGTAGGAAACTAATTCAGGAGGAACAGTTCAGGCTTTGTTTTTCAGAATAAACAAGTCCCTAACGGGTTAACAGCTCGGTAGGAAATTTGAGAAGGATCCCAGTTCCCTCGGGATCGCTGTCCCGGGAGCGCTGCAGTCTGGTTCCCTCCTCAGCTTCTCAGCTGCGAGGCTTCCAGCTGCTGCCCTCGAAGCTCACCCCGCTCTGTCCTACTGCCCACAGACTCAACAATTCCCTCTTGCTGCCTCTCAGGCTGCTGCTGCCTCCTGCCAAGCCCAGGCTGCATCCCGGAGACCAGGAGCAGCGATCTGTCTGTCTGTCTGTCCGCCGGACACACAACCACACAGCTCTTTGCAGTCGCAGTACCAGTTGTTGCTCGTGTTGCCCAGAAAAGTGCCAGGTGCCAACCTCTTTCCTTCCGTCTCGCAGTTCCAGGAGGAGCAGCGCCGCAGGGAGATCGAGGAGCGCCGGAGGTTTCCGCTGGAGCAGCGGCTGAAGGAGCACATCATCGGGCAGGAGAGCGCGATAGCCACGGTGGGAGCAGGTAGGATCACTCACTGCTCTGCTCTCCTGCAGCTTCTGCTCCTCAGCGAGCGTGCTACCTCCTGGAGCCATGATCCCAGCTGCCCCCCAGCAGATCTCAGCAGCCCACTGAGGCTGGGGAGGTCCTGCGGGTATTTTCTGGCTGGGAAAGAGCTTGTTCCTCATCACAAGAGGGGCTGCTGGATGCTTTCTGAGGCACGGAGTTCGAGCCCTTCCCTTCAGGATGATTTCTCCCCACACTAAGCAGGGTGGCCCAGGGGTTGCAGCTGGCCTCCAGGGGTTGCGCCGCTCACCGTTAGCATCTGCAGTCAGCTGCTGGCTGAAATACGGTGCCTGAACACGACGACACTTCAACATCTTTTTCCCAGGACCATTTGTCTTAAGAATGTTGTTCATTAATAATTCACGAGCAGTTCGGTACAGCTCTGTGTGCATAAACACCTCGCACACAGCCTGCTCGGGGAACCTTTCTGTGTTCCTTACAGATGTGGGACCGGGCTCCACGCAAAATACAAGCACGTAGCTCGGTCACACTTCCCTGGCCATCACCTCAAAGGCCATTTTAGCCCCGTGTCCTGCCAGCAGAGTGCAGAAACCATCAGGAAGACAAACAGAGGGGTATTGCCCCGCTCTGCTCCCCCCACATCCAACAATTTGCAACCAGGAGCTCTTCCCACCTCCATCCTTCTGGGGGTGTTGCTCGGTAAATACTGACGATAACACTGAAGCAAAACTGTTGTCAGCAGCGTGTCCCTGCTCAGTCCGAGAGCCCTGGGGGCACATCACCATCCCCTGCCGGGAGCAGGATTAGCTCACAGGGCACACCACCAGCCTGTGCTTTAAAGCTGGGTGACTTACATCCCTTACCTCTGGCCAGGAGTGATTTAATCTCCCGGTGTTCCCTTCTCCGCACCGACTCCCACCCCTGGGCCACGTTCCCAAGCGAGGGTGCCGGTGCCTTTTTCTTGAGGTGTTTTTCCCGTGCTTCAAATTCCGAGTTTTCCTGCTAAAAATGAAATAAACGGGGTGAGTAAATGAGGAGCCTGGCCTCTTGTGGCTGTGCTGCAAGCATACAGCGGCGCGGTGAGGTTTGGAGGGACCGGCGGTGTTTGCTGTCAGCCCAGCCGGGGGAAAAACCAGAGCAGCTTTTAGGCAAACAGACCCAAACAGCAGCCTCGCGTCTCAGATGAGCGCAGACATCGCTCTGAGCCTAACCTCGTTATGCTAATCAATTAAATACATTGAGACCAAAGGGTGTTGGGCATCTGTAGAGCAGAGGGGGAAGCGTTCTGGCTGTCACTTCGCCTAGCGAGCGCCGTTTTGTCTCTCCCCAAACCCCGTGTGGGCTGCGGGGGGCTTTTTCTTTGTGGTCACCCGTGGGTGCAGCCTCGCAGCTCTCCGGGGCACCTCGTGTCACCCTGGGCACTGCAGCACCGTGGGGACATCACAGCCCTGAGCACCGTGAATAATTCCTCCAGCATCCCAGCTCAGTGCCCGAGCACCGGCGGGTGAGGTAAGAGGGTTGAGGTCAGCGAGCGCCGCGCCGTCAGGAGCACAGCGACCACTCCAGCCTCGTTAACAAAGCCGAGCCCTGGGTGATCTCAGAGCCCTCGAAAGAGCAAAAGAGCCAGCGCTGCTGCGAACACAACAGCCACCCTCTGTGTTCGCAGAGCGGCTGCGCCTGGGGGCAGCGGGACGGGCTAATTGGGAGGCTTTGATTAATGGGTAGTGCCTGCTTCTGACACAGGTGGTGTTTCTGCGCATTAAAGTGGCTGCCTTTATGGAGGTTTCTCTTATTGAATTATAGGGAATGTGCTTGATACCCCCGCAGCCTCAGGATATCAGGACCAAAAGGTAGCAGGAGAGTCTCCGTCCCCTCCTCCCCCCTTCCCTTCTGCCCCGTTTTGGCTGGTTTCCTTCAGGAAGGGTGAATTTAGAGACATCACTTTTTCTTTCAAGCGCTTCCTATCTAGCCGTGTAATTTTTTTTCCTCCCAGCTGTTTTTTGCTGCCACTTCGTGGACTCCACGTGCCTCCCGTTGGCGCTCGCCGACACGGTTTGTTGGCCTTGCTGCACGCCACGTCCCCAGATTTACCAAGGCCAGCTGATATGTTTAATTTATAACCGCTGCCATAATTGAATAATCTGATTTAATCCAGCACTCCGTGCATAATCCAAACAGGCTCCAGAGAGGCTCAGCCCCGAATACAAAGGGGACAGGAGCTCGGGGTTTGCTCCATGCGTCGGGGTGGCAGCGGCGCATGGAGGCGGTCGAGATGCTTGTGCCGCCTGCACCCCCTGGGCACTGTCCTGTCCTTAACACGGTTTTCCTGAAATCAGGAAAAATCCACGGGCAGGTCGTTCCCATAATCCTGGGAATTGACAGGAGCCTGGATGTTACAACTGCTCCATGCAGATGAGCAGCTGAAGGGCTTACGGTTGTGTTTCCAGGGCACTCTCAGCAATTATTGTACTCCAAATCTGCTCAGCTCTTTGCTGGTTCCCTCGGATATGCGGAGGCAGCGGGGTGAAACTGCGTATCCGAAATATGATGGAGGAAGAATGCCTCTGGTTTAGAGAGAGCACTTGCCAGGCCGTGGGCAGGTAGAGGTGGGGTTGCAGAACACCCCTTCCAGCACTGATTTTCCCGTCCTTTCGGGTTGAAGCAATGTGCATCGGGTCTCTTCCTGAAGCCAAAAAGGAGAGAGGAAGGAGAAGAGTACACGTCCCTCATTTCAGTGTGCTCAGGCACCTGTTACACTGAGGTGAGCAGTCCTGTGCCTCCTCTTCCTCCTCCTCTTCCTCCTCCTCTTCCTCCTACCCACAGGGGCACAGCCACGGGACGCGTGGTCCCGCGGTGGGTACGGACCCGGAGGCATCGCCCCCCGTGGCACCCTGAGCCCGGGCGGTGCGCGAAGCACCAGCGAATGAATTGATTTGATAAATGGACATTTATTACACTCACAAATTGGCTGAAACCAATTTCGGTCACATCAACCCCTGATAACTGCTAGGGTATTGATTTGTGTAAAGTAATACAGTGAATTTATCAGTTCAATAGCGAGCTGAAGGGCCTCTCGGAGACACAGCGCTACGGTTACGCCGTTACAGATGTCCGAAATAAAGTGGAAGCACTGCGGCCACGCTGCAAATGGCTCCAGAGAAGGAGGCCCGGGCGTCATCCTCAGCCTCTTCGCCTGGACGTGGGGGCTGAATTTCCTCATGAGATTTCGGCAAAGCGGCGCGACCTGCCTCTTTCGTGTTATTTCTTTATTTCTGCTCGGCAGCAGGCACACCGCAGCCTTCTGAACAGCACGCAGCCCGTGCTGCTGGTACCAGCCCCGGGGAAAGGAGCGTTCCCCTGGGCTGCCTTCGCTCTGCCTGAGGTCTTCATCCCTTCAGACCAGCACCGATGTCCTGCTTTGTCCTAAAATAGCAGCTTTGCCCTAAAATAGCAGCTTTGTCCAAAAACAGCATCTTTTTTCCCTCTTGCTGAAGCTGAACTGCGCAGCGGCCAACCTTAGGGCGCAGAGATGGAGAGCTGCCCACAGCCGTGGCTGTGAGGCCTGGGGCCGCAGTGTTGCCTCTCTGTAGTTAACCAAAATCTTGCAGTTTTTCCCTGTCTGTGTGCTCGAATATGTCATAACTTCCAGGCTGCTTACAGAAGGGGTTTTACACCTCCTCGCCCCGTCGATCTAACCAACCCCCTGCAGACAACGGCGATCAGCACCTTCCAGCCGAGCCCCCGAACTGAATCACCAGCTCTCTCTTTATGGCAGGGTTTTATGGCGTGGTTTATATCACCGGAGCTGCCGTGGCTGAGCCTGAGCGTTGAGCCATAAAGCGCCGTGCCCTGCTGCAGAGGAGGCTGAGAACAGACAGCACTTAACCTCGCCGCCTTCGGACCGCTGAACGTGCTGACCCCGCAAGTGGTCAGTCCGTGCCCCGAAGCAAAAGTTTATTGCCTTTATTATCTCAGCTGAAATAGCTGCACAAATTGTCGGCGGTCGTGTTATTCCCCATCAATTTAAAACAACAAAAAAAAAAATGCCTACCCCTGGTATTTGACCTCCCGTTTGCTGTGATAAAGGACAAGGAGGGAGCACGTGCGCCCGGCCGGGAAGGGCAGGGCTGGGACACGCTGGATGTGCCCAGACCTCATCTGCCCCTGGGACCCCCACCAGGTGGCTGTTGCCCCTCTCGTTAGGGCATCCTCTCTGCTTTTGCCCTTCCCCTGACATGCCCGGTGCAGGGGACGTCCCCGCCGTGCACTCCTGCGCCCGCACAGCCACCGAGACACCCGGGGCAGGCTGGAGGTGAGCCGGGTCCGGATGGAGTCCAGCCCTGCAGCCTGGCTCTGCGCCCGAGCTAATTAAGCCTTGACAGGAGTCAGGACTTATTAGCACGGCTGAAGCCCTGGATAATGCATCCAGATCGTGTCCGGGCACACACGGGCAAGTCCACGTGGCATTGGGGACGAATTTCCACGGCCAACACTGTCCGTGCTCATCCTGCTGGGTGCCCCTGGGGCTTAGGAACCAGGGGGTGCTCACCCCGGCCCCCTGCACAGAGCTGGGGGCGAGCTCGAAGCTTCAGCATGAGCCACGGTGCCCGGTGGGTCCCCTCCGTGCCCCGCAGGTCGTTAGGGATCCAGGCACGCTCCTGCTCTGCTGGGTAATCACCTCCGTTATTAAAACTCGCCCTGCGCTCTGCCTACTTGGGATTCATCTCGCTCCAGCCCCTGGAGCGCGCTAATTTTGTCTGCTAGATGAGTAGACCCGGGTGCTTTCTTGTGGAGATGCTTAATGACTGTGGTCAGGTCAATCCTCAAAACCTCTCGTTGTTAACCTCAGGAGATTGATTTTTCCTTGGTGTTTTCAGCCTCGCTCCAGGCTTTGTGCTTCCTCTCCTGATCCTCGCCAGGTCTTGTCGGCTTGCAGCCTCCCCGGCTCTGCTGCCCACACTCCTGAGACGTGGACACAGCACGGAGCAGTCTGCACTTCTTTTCCCTTACCCAACCAAGCAGAGTTTTTTTCATGGGCTCCCTTTCTTTCTCAGTTTGAGTTTCAGCACTCCCCATTTATCTGGGTGCGCTCCAGAGGGACAAAACTCCACAACGTCCCAAATCTGGGGACACACGGGCAGCTGGAGACCTGGGGCTGCGGGACCAGGACACTCTCAGTCCAAAGCTGAGGTCCCAGGGCACATTCTCATCCTGGGCTGAATTTTTCAGTGAACACCACGAAATAACTCAGGCTGTACCTCTGGTGTCTTGCCCACGTCGTGCCCCGCTTCCATCCAGCTGTGCCACAGCTTTGGGCTCTCTCCCAGCTCGGTGCTGGAAACACAGCTTGCAGCTCAGCGTGGCCTCCTCCTGTGTGCCACCACACAATTCTGGCTGCTGCAGCTTCTTGCAAAACATCACAAGGCTTTACAAAGCTCAAGGCAATCGATACGGCAAGAATAACTCTTCGGAAGAGCTGCAGCAGAGGCCGCGTGTAAATAACGCCGATAAACCAGGGGGGGCTCGGTGGGATTCTGCCTCTCCCCCCGAGCAGCATCCTGCAGTGCCCCTGGGCTGCCTGCACGGGCTCGGGGCTGCCTCGTGTCACCGGAGCCAGCCACCAAATCGTGTCCCTGCTGGGGCTGTGGCACTTTTTGTGGGTCCCTCCTGACCGCAGTACGCGCTTGGTTCATCCAGGAGGTTCATCCCCCATCTTCGGTGAGGTTTGGGCACAGATCTGAAGCTGCTCCGAGCTCCTCCCAGCACCAAACAACCACCAGTTACAAGCTCCAGTCCAGCCCTGGGCTGCTACTGGTGTGTTCAGGTGCTAGGGGCTGCTCACCTCCCGGCCAGCAAGGGGCTCGGGGTGATTTCGGGTGGGCGTTTGGGGCCAGATGCAGCCCAGCAGCAGTGCCTGCTTGTCCCTTTGGGTTTGGAATCCTGTTCCTGGTCTCACTCAGGTCTGGTGCAGTGATTTTACTGGTTTGGTGGACGTGCCCCCAGTGGGACGGGCAGGAGGTGGCACACGCTCTGCGAGCCAAATCTCTGCGTATCCCGAGGGCTGTGGTGGTAATATTTGGGGAGAAAAACGTGTGTTTCAGCTCCCAACCTCCCCTTTGCTTTTTGTAAAATTTTCCATGGGTATCTGAACCAGGATGCCCTTCAAAACTGCTTTTCCAGATGCTCACCAAGACAACTGGAGGCTCTCCCTTGCAAGCCACACCTCGCCTCCATTCAATTCAACACCGCTCTTTTTATTTGCATGCGAGGAATAATGCAAAAAAACTTCCCCAAACCTGCCTTTTTCGCAGAAAGGTCGCACTTGTGAGCTGGAAACCCAGCGCGCCGCCTGCACCCTCCCCTGCAAGCCCTCCCCGTTCCTCCCCGTCCCCCCCTCCTCACCGTCTCCCTGGCAACGCTGAGTGCACATCCTGGAAAACTTTATCCGAAATCTGCTCTGGGCAGCCTTCCAAATCCATGCTAACCTGATTAGGTGTCTCTGGGGCCTTTGCTGGCTAATCAAATTAGATAGCACTAATGGCAGCGAGGACTTTGAGTGGGTAGAGAGCAGTAAAACATAGTGTATACTTAGTGATAATTATACTTGCTTTTGTGGCATTGATTTATATGCCTTCTCCCCCCCCCTCCCATTTCTGTTTTTGTTGTGTTTAAATGCAGCCATTCGGAGGAAGGAAAATGGCTGGTACGACGAGGAGCACCCGCTGGTCTTCCTCTTCTTGGGATCGTCTGGAATAGGTAACAGCAGGGAGAGGGATGGGAGCAAGGAGGAGAGGATGGGATGGGCTGGAGCACACGAGGACACACGTGGACACACGAGGACACACATGGACACACGTGGACACATGCACACCCATGGAAACAACACATGAGGACGCTGTGCCAGCCTTGCAGGAGTCCTCCCAGGGGACTGTCTGCCTTAAAAGCTCGAGAAGGAGCAGTTTTCCTAACAGAAGTGTGAATTTAATGCCTCCACGGGTGGGGTAATAACAGCAACGTGCTGCCTGCAAACCAGCTCCCTGCTCGCCCCGCTCACGCGGGCAGGGATCGCTGTGCGGTGACGCAGTCGTATTGACACTGGTAATATTTTTTCCACAAGCACAATGAAATGCGACACGACAGCTGATCAGTTCATGAAATGGGCAAAATGAATTTTACTCGGAAAAAAAAAAAAAAAAAGGAGATTTAAAGCAACCAAACCGTGACATTTGAAACGACGCCGGCGCTTCCGCACCCGGCTGGCTCACGGGGCGGTGGGGACGATGCCGGTGCTGGAGGGGTTAAAGCACCTCACAGCACTAGCAGGCCGAGTATTAACTCCAAACGAGTTGCTATAAAGCAGTAGAAAAGCAGTAAGAAATGTTTTCGAGACTTCATTGCGCTGCTTATGGCAGGTCTGAAGGCTCGGCGATATAAATTGTCAGCTCTTCAACTCGCACGTATTTCCGTGAGGGTTTTTTGGCTGCTTTTGCTGCCGTAACAATGAGCATTGAAATGAGAAGGCAAAGCAGCTGATTTGAGAAATGAGAAGGCAAAGTGGCTGATTTTGAAATTGGATTGTATCAGGTGGGTATTTCACCTGGTGTAATGGCAAGCTGAAAGACCAAATGCGTACAAACCGAGACACCTGATGTGCCGTCGCGTTTCAGCAGCTTCCCCCAGCAGTTAAGCACTTTAAAGACCTATATATTTATATATTTACAATACATATGTGCATACACACACACACATACACCTACATGCTCACACATCAGGCTCGAGGACACAGCAACAAACGAAGTCACCAAAGCCGGAGCCGAACTGGGAGGAGGAATTCTGGCAGCAGCAGCGGTACCTGTTGGGACAGGCTTCCAAGCCCTGATGCATTTCCATTCTGGCAGCCCATTTGCGGTGATCTAATTAAGTGATCCCGGGGATCTAAGATTTATCTCCAGCAGCATGCAGAGTGCAGCTGTTCCCAGGGTGGGGCCGATGTGTAATGCTGCTGCTGGGGGTGCTGCGTGCCCACAGCACCGCGGCTGTAACGCCAGCACAGCTCTGCCTGCAGCTGCAGCCCCTCTGGCTATGCAGGATTGTACCTTTTTTTTTTTTTTTTTAGCTAGTTTGGTTTTTAAGATACGATCTTTTTATTTAGATAGTTGCTTAGGGCGTTTATGTGTCTGCTCTCTGCCCTGACGTGCCCGAGTGTTTATTTTGCAGTGTGTAGCAAACACAAAGCGCACGCCGTGCAGGTGGGGTGCTGGCTGCAGACACACCAAGAGGTGCTAACGTTAACTCAGAGCATCCCCCCCGCCTGCTAAATGCGGCTCCTCTCCTTTGCTGCTAATTCCAGGAGCTGCAACCAGCCCCAAAACGCTCCACCTGCTAAACCCAGCGGTTACATGCCAGTGGGTGGCAGCAGGGAAGCTTCAGGGAGGACACTTCTGGCTCTGGCAGAGCCTGGGTATTGAAACACGCAGCAGAGCTGCCCCTAGGACCCAGCTTTACCTGGATGGACAGATTGGGAGGACAGGGTCTCGCCTTTCGGGAGCTGCTGACCTGATTTACTCCATCCCTGATCGTTTGCAATCCTGGATTTTTATGCCAGTTGCCTTGCGTTGATCAAGTAAATGAAGAATGCCACGTTACCCTGAAATGCTTTATCTAGGGAGCAAAACCCATTGCACATGAAACTTGGAATAGGGTAAAGGTAGCAAAAATCTGCTCTAACCGCAGAAAAAAATCAGCTCTCTGCCCATCATTTAGGGATCACCTCCTAAAAACCAAGCAGCCAGCGCTGAGCTCGCTTGCAGGGGGCTGGACAAGCAGCACGGCCTCCCTGACTTCTAACACCAGGCTTTTCTTTTTGTTTGACACAGGAAAGACAGAGCTGGCCAAACAGACAGCCAAGTACATACACAAGGATGTCAAAAAGGTAACGCCTCCTCGCTTTGTTGTTTGCCATTTGGAGAGCTCGGTGCTGGGACACGCTTGGTGCTGGGACACGCTGGGTCTCCTGGGTTGCAGCACACTTCTTTGCAATCCAGTGTGAGATCTCTGCACGTGAGCTGAGGACGAGTTAAAAGGCAGCGTTCCCAGCCCAGGTCCCTGTCTGTGGTGCTAATGATATCTGGAATCATAAATGTCAGAATTAATTTAACCAAGCCTCGTGTTCCCTCTTTGAGGTTGCGCAGGGTGTTGACACCCTGTGCGGTGAACACGTTTTTTTTTTGCCTTTGTTCCTAATAACAGCGTAAATCGTTGAAAAGGATGAAAATTTAAAAATCCATTTTGCTTGTCCCTGCGTGCACCATTTGTAGCAGTGTCCAGTACAGGCAGTGGAAATGCTGGAAATGACCTCGTGCCTGGGTTCTTAGCGCTGAAATGTTTGGGATTTCAGCACCAGAAGCTGTTCGTGGGCTTTAGTCTGCTATCCACCGGGCAGTTTTCAGTTAGGATGGGCTAAAATCATCTCCTTTGGCTGGGGACTGGTTCAGGGGTGCCTGCCTTGTCCGACAGCAGGCGCTTAAGGCTGCGCTCCTCGACTCGCAGCCAAGCATCCTCTGCCCTGAGAAGCACCCGGCTTTCCTCCTCCGAGGGCTGGGGGAAGCGCAGAGATGAGAGCTGTGCAAACGGGGACGCAAGGAAACAGGAGCAGAGCTGCTCTGGAAGCTGATATTAGATTAATTCCTCTTGCCCACATCCTCCAGCACAGAATGGACACGGGAAAATGACACACGGAGAAGGAAGATCAAAAGGAAACCGAGGCTGTAAAAGTGGCTGTTCTGGTTTCTTTTCCTCGTCCTTCTGTAATTGCCTTCCCCAAGCAATAAATCCCGGTCCCTGGGTCTCAGGCACCTCCACCCGAAACTCCCGCACCTGGAACTGGTCAGTGCCCGGCCAAACATCAAATAGAAAAATCAGCTCCCCGCTAAATGCTGTGTTAATTCAATAGCATGCACAAATCGGAGTTTTATTGGGAATGAATCAGCTCGGCAGCCGGCGCTGTAACGAGCGGCGTGAAGAGGGGCCAGCAGCCCTTCTGGGCGCTTCGGGGGGACTCAGCTCTCAGCAGGAGCCACCTGATTAAGAAGGAAGAAGCCATAACCGTCTCATTTCCATGCTGATGGAGAGGTTGCGGTGTAATGACAGCCGCTGACGTCCTCACCCAACCCGCCTTAGCACTCGTGGTGCCAGCGCTGGGACGGAGGAGCCGCAGCGCGAGCAGGGCAGAGCCTGGCACATCCTGGAGACGTGGTGAGCCTCGTGTTTGGGGCACCACGAGGGTGGGAAATGCTGCTACACAGCTGCAGGGAGGTGGCACCGGTGGCTTTCTGAGCGCTGACCGCCTCGGGTGACTTCTGCGGGGCTTGGCTGATGGATAGTGTCAGGCTGGACTGGTCGAGGTGCTCTCCAGGGAAGGATTTCCACCAGAACTTCTCCTAGGGTTGATTTCTACAGTAGCTGGGGAAATGTTTCGTTGAATTTGGTTTCGATTCCATCTTACAAAAACCAAATGGATGGAGAGAGAGTAACAAAATATGTGGGCAGGTTTGAAATGAAGAGTTCCAGTCACTCTGAGCTGCCCAAACTGCCCTGAATTCACACCACCACCACCCAGCACCCCCAAAACCAGCATGTGCTGCACAGACACGTCCTCCTGCACGGTGCCAGCTCTTGGTGCCCGTCTCTGCCTGGCCTCCCACCTCCCTTGGCTCTCCCCAGCCAGTAAATCCATCATCTGGGTCTCTCGTTGTCCTTGGAGGGCAATGTTGGAGCCCCGAGGGTGTCCGGCAGCACCGGGTGGCTGCCTGGGGTGGTCTCACTGGTGCCGAGCCACACACCAGCAAAGGGCTCAGACCCACAGGGTGCTGGGGAATTGCTGGTGGAAAGGTCTCCGGGGGGATGCTGGAAGGTCGAGCTGCTCTGCTCCTAGCTTCAGCACCCAGCTGCAAGCCCAGAAATGCCTTGGCTGCAGGGAATAATCAGCTTTCCAAACGCAAAAAGAAGTTTGTGTGGTCATCATGAGTTCTGTAACGTCATCTCTTTGAGGGGATCGTCCATGAACCTCGTTTACCTGGGCTGTACGATTTGGGGTTTTGCTTAGTTTTGCTTTTACAGTTGTGTTCTTCGTGGGATTTGTTTCAAAAAAAGTCTCAGCAGCAGTAAAATCCATTTTATGTAGCAAATTGTGAGCTGTTTCAGTCCCACTTCCAGCCCCCAGCCCTGGTGACCAGCAGGGTGTTTCAATGAACCTCGGCCAGGGGCAGTGGGATCAGTTCCTGGCTATTTCCCTCTTCCTTCAGAAGAAGTCCTAATATTTGCAGTGGATTTATCTGGCCGCTGCCTGCCTGCAGTCCTGGGGAGCCACGAAGTGAACACAAGTGTGCTCAGCCACCTGCCTGCTTCTGGAGAAGCCTTCCAAATGTAATGAAACCGGGGGCACATTCATCAAAAATCACTTTACGTATTTATTTCTCTTCCAGGGTTTCATCAGACTGGACATGTCGGAGTTCCAGGAGAGGCACGAGGTTAGTAAATGGGCTGTCTGGACTTCCAGGGGTTGCAGTTCTGAGTTTAATTGGTAATTCAAACAAATCGTGCCAATCCCGCCGTTCCCCGGCGTTTCATCACTGTCCGTGGCGGTGCTGAGCGCCTCCCGCTGCCTCTGAGCGCGGGCAGAGCTCCTGGCTGGAGGCCTGGCCGTGGCAGTGGGCAGCCAGGACTTTTTTGAGTTCCCTTGCCAAAAAACGGGCAGTTTGGTGTGCCGGATGAGGGTGCAGGGCGCACAGCAGGGAACACGCGGCAGTGAATCTGCAGAAACGTCCCCTGGAAGGGGTTCAGTGCTGCAGTGAGCCCAGGAGAAGTAGCACAGGGAACTATGGACCAGAAGGCGATATTTTATATTTTTTTGCTGGCTGTGGGCACAGACCTGGGCTGATCCCACGTAGCCTTCAAGCTCTGCTGTGAGGATTTTGCACTGACAATAGCAGCACCTCCTGCTGGCCCGGCCAAGCCCAAAATCCTCCAGGAGAGGTCCGTCCCCTCCAACTCCAAAAAGCAGCAACGTCCCAGCTGAGACTGCGTAAATCTGGTTTGCAAAAAAATGCAAATTTAAATTCTCCTGATGGCAGCGTAGCTCCCTTGTACAGTGCGTTTCCAAAGCAGGGAAGTAAGGAGATACGGGGAAGAGAAAATTCAGAATTGCCTGCAGCTGGCCTGATAGATGGCTTGTCGGCGGTTCTGCTGGGGACCTGCGCTGGAGGAGTGAAAAATGCATAAAAATAAAGCCATGGTGATGACTCAGTGCAAAGGAAGAGGAGCTGGAAGCGGCGGTGTAAATGTAAGATATAAAACACCGTGCCCTGACAAAGACAAGAGGCAGAGCAGAGGGAAGAAATAAAGTAGAGAATTGCAGCCAGAGCAATATAAATTTTTCAAGCAAACAAGGATCAGGAGGTCAGCCCAGGAGACAGCATCCTTTGAAGGAGCCTGGGGAGCCTCACGTAGCCACAGGCGCTGCTAAACAAATGAAATGAATTAGCTGCCTTCAGCTAATTCCTGCTGGAGGGTCCCCGAGCCCGCGGGAGCCCCCTCACCTCTGCCCGAGAGCCCCCGGGAGAGGGCAGGGAGGCTGCAGCAGCGCACGGCTCCGGTTCCAGGGGACGAGGGCATCACGGCTGTCCCCAGGCTGCATTGCTGGGCCAAACGGAGCCACCTCGAAAAGGTAGGTGGCTGTGGGCACAGATTTTGGGAAGCAGAGGTGAAGGTGTTGGGGCTCCTTTCCCCTGCCAGCCCGCCGAGCACCAGAAGGGGACGGTTGTGCCGGCACGGTGGCACGAAAGGATTTCGGTGTTCTCCAACGATAAAACAAAACCACGACAGACCCAGCACCAGGCTGTGCTGCGTGGAGGAGAGGCAAATAGTTTGTTCCACGAGGACTCACCAATATTCTAAGGGTTTGGGATTTTGCTCCCAGAATTTCACGTGGGTGAGCAGCCCACAGCTGGCTCTGCGTGTCCGGCGTCCGCCCGAATCAACAAACCCATCGATAAATTGTGTTCCTTTAACTTGGTGTGCTTAAAGGACTTCAGGTGCACCCAGAGAGCCAGGTTGCTTCAAGCTGAACACCAAAATCCCCTTGTCATTTCTGCAGAAGCAGTTCTGCTGCCAGGAGCACTCTCCTGTCTCCTTTTTGAACCTCTTTTAGAAGTCCCGGTGCTGAGCAGTAAGGAAGTTGGCTGTGGGTGCAGGACAAATACTTGCACTGTGGCTGCTGCCCAAGCTCTGGGAAAGCCACCTACCACCTGTGGTCCCTTAAATTCTCTCTTAAAAAGGCCAAAGGGCATTAAAACGGGTCTTTGAGAGCTGGGGGGGTCACTCAGACACCGCTTCGAAGAGCAGGGGCTGTGCCTGCAGCCTCTGGGGCTTAAACCCCTGTGTGAGGCATTTGCCCAGCAATCATTGATCTGAAATTTTCACCAAATTGTGCCTTTTTCAGCTGATCTTGGGGTACCTGGCGTGCGATAGATGCCACAAAGAACACAGAGCACCCCTGGCTGGGTGCTGAGCTGCTCCGTGCCCGCGAGGGCAGCTCCTGGCAGCGCACGGATCCCCTCTCACGTGTCCTGTCCCTTCCTCCTAGGTCGCCAAATTCATCGGCTCGCCGCCCGGCTACGTGGGCCACGAGGAGGGCGGGCAGCTCACCAAAAAGCTGAGGCAGTGCCCGAACGCCGTGGTGCTCTTCGACGAGGTCGACAAAGCCCACCCAGACGTCCTCACCATCATGCTGCAGCTCTTCGACGAGGTGAGGCTGGCACGGAGTGACAGAACTGGAGGGGCTGGAGGGGACCTCAGGAGATCATTGGGCACAATCCCCCTGCCAAAGCAGGTTCCCTAGAGAAAAGCTGGGGTTGGAGCTTGAGAAAACCTGGGGTTGGTGCGAGGGCCGGCTGCAGGAGAGGTCTGGAGCGGGGCGGAAGCGCTCCAAATCAAGAGTCACTTCCAAAAAATGTGAGCCAGCCAGTCAGGCCACGGTAATGCCGGGAAGCAGCATCACGCTGAGGTCTCGTGGTGGAAGAAATGACATCTTCAGGAAGAGAAAAAGCCAGCGATGGGAGGGGCAGGAGCTCGAGCAAGAAGCCCAGGGATCAGATTGTCCCGTGTCGCTGGGAAGGCACGAGAGCAAAGTCTGTGTCATGAGGACACCACTAAAAACCCTGGTGACAGCAGAGGTGGGCAGCAGAGGGCAGGAACACCAAGTGCCCTGTGGCTGCCCACCAGGGTGGCACGGGGAAAACCTTTTCTGAGCACCCAGGCACGGGTTGGGTGCTGCCACCTCATCAGGAAAGCACGGCAACCTGGGCACTTCTTAACCATAATGAGCCGTGCCTCGTTAATTGCTGCTCTGGAGTTGGGGTTGGTTCATTCACGGCGTTCCAGGCAGCACGTGAGTCATCTCCCAGCCTTCCTCCCCCAGATGCTGGCTCTCCCCCTCATCCTGCTGGCTGTAGGAAGGAGAGAAATACTCGCCGAGGAAGGGCGCACAGGCAGTGACTTTGGAGCCCCTTGCACGAGCTGGTGGGAGCCGGGGACAAACGCGTGTCCCTGGAGCAATCCTGGGACACCAGGACACAAGGGGGCTGCTGCATCTCCTGCTGCAAGCTCTGCGAGTTTTTCCCTCTATTTTTAAGGTCCCAGTCTGTCCACAGAGGCGAACAGACTCCAGAGCGATGTGCTGGGAGGTTTTGGGGAGTTTAGTTTTTCTTTTAAGGATTAATAACACAATTTTTTCTTGCATAGATCATCACAGCAGCAGCTAAATGTGAAATCAATTCCTGTACCACGCACTTGACAGGGCAATAACCCAAATGTTAATCTCAAGCACCCAACAAGGATTTGTGTCATTGTGCTGGATATCTGCTGCTGGAGACATATCGAGGAAAGAAACTGCCTGGGGAGCTGCTTATTTTTTTCCTTATTTTTCTCTCTTTTTTTACTTTATTAATCAAGAGAACGAGTACTTCTGAAGGGTTCCTGGGCAGGTTTGGTGGGAGGAGCGCTGACCCCACAGCCCTCAGCAGCTCCCTGGGTGCACGGGGAGCCCTCCTTGGGTTTGTTGGGGCTGTCCCAGGGGGATGCTCTCTCTCTGTCACCTCTTGCTGCCCCGGATCCGTGCTTGGTTCATTCCACGGGCAGAGCCAAGCAGTTATTTCTGCAGGGTTATTTTGGCTTGGCTTATTTTCGGTAGGGCTCCTAGCAGTCTGTGCTCCCACGTGGTGCTGCCAAACCACCACAAAGCTCACTGCCCCTGCCTGGCCCAGCACCGGGGGAGCTCCCAGGCGGCCACAGCAGCCCGGGGAGCTTTGAGCTGATTCCTCTGTCCCTCTGGTGAGCACCCAGTTGTGGCCAGTAAATACCAGTGAATACCACAGCTCTCATCGCAGCCAGCCCAGCACCTGCCCGTGTCCTTGGGCATCCCTTGGACAGCATCGGGACCAAATCTCTGGGGACCAAGGGGGCTGTGATGTTTTGCCTTGTGTTTTGGAAACGTCCTGGGGCACCCAATGATGCTTGTGTTGATTTGGTGCCGTTGCAGGGCAGGCTGACAGACGGCAAGGGGAAGACCATCGACTGCAAGGATGCCATCTTCATCATGACCTCCAACGTGGCGAGCGACGAGATAGCCCAGCACGCCCTGCAGCTCAGGCAGGAGGCCGTGGAAATAAGCAAGAAGAGGATCGCAGAAAACTTAGGTACTGGGCTTTGCACGTCCTTCTCCAAACCCCTAAAGAACCCAGCTCCTCCCTAAGGCTGCAGGTCCCTGCTGCAGGGATCAAACGCCTGCCCTCATCACCACGAGGCCTCTTCTGAAAGCCTCCCTGCAGCATTCATCGTTTATGATCACGTCCTTGAGCGATTTGTCTTTGCTTGGGGCTTTCTAGCCCACCTCTCAGCCCTCCCCACCCCGTGCTCTCTTCCCTTTATCTGCTAATCCTTTTCTTTCTCTCAGGACCCTTCCACGTGCTTCCTCGGAAACACCGTGGCTCCTCCAGGTGCTCACATTAACACAGAATAGTTTAGTTCTTTCTTAATTCAGCTAAAGGTAATTAGGACTGAGCTTAATAGATTTTACTTTGCCTTTTAGTGACAGCACAAGCCCCACACGAGGGTCCTGAAGGAAATTGCCCCCAAGCAGGTCGCAGAGGGAGGACGGAGCAGGGTAAGGGCAGCCTCTGACAGCCCTGCTGAAGGCACGGGGTCTCTGGACGCTCAGCCCTGCAGTGATAACCCCATAGCACCAGGAGGCCACCAGTAGGGCTCCAGTGCCCTAAGGAAGGACAGACAGCAGTGCCTGCAGCGGGGCTTTCCCCCTCTCACTCCGAAATAGGGACAGGTTTGAGCACAGACACTGGCACAGGGAGCACGAGGAAGCGCTGTCAGCATCGGGTGCTGCTGTGCCTGTGCAGAACCACACTTTTCTCACCCGTTTGGTTCCCTTTTTCCCTTCCATGGGGTACCTGGCAGCCTGTGCCCTCCTGCACATAGGCAGGGCTTCTCTGCTCACCCGTGGAAATGCCCGAGGAGCTGTGGTGTGCGGTGTGTGCTGCGGCCAGGAGCCACAGCTTTCTGCAGCAGCTCCATGGACAGCAGGAAAAAATGCTGGGTTTTGGCATCGAGTGTATTTTTCAGCTTCTCTCTCACTGTCTCTTCCTTTTTGCTTTGAGAAGCGGATGCCAAAGCTGACTTAATTCAGAATCTTTAAACTTCAATCAAACTAGGTAAAGGACAAAGCCTTGCCTGCAACTGAACTTTCAAGAATAACATTTTAAAATGCCAAGCACTTTTCTCCTAAATGAGGAAAGCATTGAATTTTAATTTCTGGAACTGTACGACAGACAGCTGCAGTGAGTGAAAGGCAGCGAGAGAGCACAGCCAGAAAACGCATTTTGATCAGGAGCCCGGCCTCAATTGAGTTTCGCAGAGCTCCTTGCGATTTGCAGAGCCCTTGGCTTGGAGGTGCTGCAGGACGCAGCGGCTGGGAGGTCAGCCTGAGTGCCTGGCTGGGCAGATAAATGGAAAGATAGAGGGAAGGAGCTGCTTCCGCCCTATCTCCCCATCTGTGAGTGAAAGCAGCAAATATTGCAGGTGACAAACCTCAGCGCTGCCTGTGCTCTGCTCTGCCCTCCCCAGCTCCTCTTCCAGGGGCCCCGTACGCGGGCAGAGCGCTCTGCCCAATCCCCTCGGTGGCTCAGGGATGTGAAAGGGGCTGAATCCTATAACCCAGGACCCCCAGCTCCATTTACCCCACTGCGCTGCTCATCCTCCCCGTGTGGCACAGCAAAATCCCCACCCAGGATCTCTGGAGCACCCCCATGAGCTGGGATGGGTGCTGAGAGCCCCCCAGCCTCCCAGGGCAAGGGGCAGGGGGACTTCAGAGCACACAGCACCGTGCCTGGAAGCCTCCTGTGCCACTGCTGCGAGTGTCACAGCTCCAGCAAGGCTGCAAATGCAGGAAAGGCTCTCGGCGTCCAGCCTTCAGCGGGGTATTCCTGCACTGCTCGGCGTTACAGCCTCCTACCCAGAGCACCTTTCCTGCGAGGGATCTCCCCTTGTGTTAAATGGCCCACGGAGTTACACGCCTGAAGGTTTAGGAAGGAGCGAGGCAGTCAAGACAAAGAGAAACGTGCCGTGAGGCTGCAGGAAGGTAAAACCTGCGCTGAAGCTGGCTGTCAGGGCTGGAGCTGGGATTAGAAGCAGGGCTGCCAGACCCTGGCTCCATCTGCAGTCAGTGGAGGGAAGTGGTCCCAAAGCCTGAAGCACGCTTGTGCCCCAGGCTGAGTGTGGGTTTTGCTGCTTGCTGAGGGGCCCACGGGCTGTCCTCTGAGCCTAAAAAGCTGCCACAGCCTCCCCAAAACACCCCCGGGTGCTCCCTGTGCCTCCTAACCTGGGCTGGTTCTCACGGCCCAGCCACCGTGCGGGTTTCACGGGGGCCAGCGGAGGACTCCTGATACCCGAAATCTGCTGGCAGGCAGCTCTTGGGGTGTAAGGCACTGAGAGGAGGCAGAGCAGGAGCTCTGCTGCTGTCCAAAAGTAGCAGTGAAATCACTGAAGGGTGCACAGGGCACACCCACGGCAGGGAATTGGGTGCAGGAGCCCCACAGCACCCACCAGACGTGGTTTGTGGCACGTGGGGAGATTTGGGGTCTCACCTTCCTGTGCAATCTTCCTGTGCTGGCTCCTCCTCATGCAGCTCTGCGTGTCCTTCCTCCCCTACCCTCACCCGTGTCCTGGTGTCCTTGTGTCTTTCAGAGGACGTGCAGGTGACCGAGAAGATAACCATCTCCAAGCAGTTCAAGGAGAAGGTCATTCGCCCCATCTTAAAGGTAGGGGGGGATTGGTTTCAGGGCTCGTGTTTCAGGTGTGCTGAGCTTTGTTCACCGAGTCGTTCCGTTTAAGCACCGTGCCCCTCACCAGCTGCCTCCCAGATGTGAGATCAGTGACACCACGTTCATTTTCAGGCACCCAGAAGCAAGGTCAGGGCCTTGCAGAAATAGATAGCAGCATCTCTCTGCTCCCGTTGTAGTGCAACCATGGGAGACTGGAAGGGGAACACGGGCTGGGAAGTGCTGGGGTGGGGTTTTTGGGGGTCCTGCGCTCACCCTGGGCCACAATCTGCTTGGCTTCTGGGCCAGGGAAGTCCTCCTGAAGTGACACGTCCCCCTGGCACCCCCGTCTATCCCCTGAAACCCCCGTCCATCCCCTGGCACCCCTGACCTGCAGCCCTTGTCCCCGCAGGCTCACTTCAGGCGGGATGAGTTCCTGGGGAGGATCAACGAGATCGTCTATTTTCTCCCTTTCTGCCACTCGGAGCTCATCCAGCTCGTCAACAAGGAGCTGAATTTTTGGGCCAAAAAGGTAAAATCCCGTCCGTTGCTCAGAGACAATTGCTTTAGAAGGAATTTCTCCTTCACGAGGAGGAGGAATTCGTGTCCAAGCCTTCATCCTGCTGTTGCAGAAGCATCATGAGCATGTGTTTGTGCTGTAGTTGCCTTCCATGGGTCAGCAGGACAGTCAAATGCCTGATGTCTTGGCACATGGAGTGCTCCAGGTGGCCAAATAGGATTTAGGGGGGCAATTTTGGAACCTTTTTGGGCACCAACAGGGCTGAACTCGGCTGATCTCAGACACAGGGACACGCAGCACCTGTGCTGCCCGTGGTGTCCCGGCTCCCAGCTGCTCGAGGAAGGGATTGGGGGCGCTGGGGATGCTCAAACACCCCGATAACATTTATTTCCTTCTCCTCCTGCCCCCGCAGGCCAAGGCGAGGCACAACATCACCCTGCTTTGGGACAGGGAGGTGATGGACGTGCTGGCTGACGGCTACAACCTGCACTACGGGGCTCGGTCCATCAAGCACGAGGTAAAGCACCAGGACCAAGCTGGCCTCGGCCCCACAGGGGGCACAGGAGCAGGGGCAGTGCCCCCACAGCCTCCCCTCGCAGCCCTGCTCTGCTTGGGGAGCACCAGGAGGCTGCTGCTTGTGTCTGTCCCACGAAAATGTGGCTGCAGGGCTCGCAGCCAGGATGCTGGTGGTCGGGGGGAGGACACATCGCTGCCCAGGGGTGGGAAGGAGGGCGGCACGGCTCCCCCGGGGATATTTTGGGGTTTTATAGGAGCTGCTTTTTCCTCCTCCAGGTCGAACGGCGCGTTGTGAACCAGCTGGCAGCTGCCTACGAGCAGGACCTGCTGCCGAGGGGCTGCACCCTGAAAATCACGGTGGAGGACTCGGACAAACAGCTGCTAAAAACCAAAGACAGCTCAGCCCCCGGCGCGGAGAAAACAAAGATGCCAACCCTGCGGCTGGAGATCGTGGAGAAGGACAGCAAATCCCGAAAACTGGACATCCAGGCACCTCTGAACCCAGAAAACATCACCTACTTCCTCTAGGGCACGCCGGGGCTGTGCGGGTTGGCAATAAAATACCGTCAGGCTCGCAGTGTGCCCCGTGGCCGCGTCCAGGAGGGCAGGAATCCGTCCCAGAGGAGCGTGAGGTGGGACAAAGCTGCTCCTGCTGCCTCTGCTCCTCTGGAGCGGGACGTGGGCAGGCAGGCCCCGCAGCATCAGGCTCTGGGAGGGCACAGAAGGCTCTGGCCGTGGGCTGGCGAGGCGCCGTGCAGCCACGGGGGGACACGAGGGTGAGGGGCAGGGGGATTTCACTGCAGAAACAGCCGAAGAGAGAAGGTGCTGGGGGTATTTAAAAACAAAAAAGCGAATTTCTGACTGTACGGGTGCTGCTCGGGCTCGTCGCTGCCTGAAGATGGGAATTGCTGCAGGGATTGGTTTTGGGGGCTTGGACTGATGCTGCACGGGGGTAGGACGGGGCCGAGCGTGTGACAGCTTCGTTTAAAAGCCACCAGGCTCTCTGTACCTCGCCTGCTTCTGGTTATTTATTGCAATAAACGCGGCGTGCACACGCCATGCTCTGCCTCTCACGCAGGATGCGGGGGGCCGGGCAGAGCGGGGTGGGGATTGCCCGGTAATGGGATCGAGGAGGGAGAGACACAGCCCTGGGGGGGCTCCTGCAGGTCCTGCTCACCCCGGGGAGGCACGAGGAGCACCACGAGGAGCACCTCGAGGAGCACCACGAGGAGCAGCACCCTTCCCACAGCCTCGGTCACTGCTCGGCCACATCGTGGTCACCCCATGGGGCCAGGAGCCCGGTGCCGAGGTCACCTCCCTTCCCCGACCGCGTCGCCGCGGATTACCCCGCCGGTCGGTGACGTGCCACAGGCACGTTGGGAAGGGGAGGAAATTAAATACAGGCGGAAATCAAACGAAATAGCCCTGCGGAATTAATAAGTCGCAGGCCCTGGGGCACGGGGACAGTGACGGATGGGAGGTGGCAGAGCCCTGGGCTTGCCGGGGACGGCGCATGTGGACCAGGAGCACCCACCCTGCTCCAGCGGGGACAGCGGGTTTGGGGAGCCCACTCAGTCCCAGGGTGTGCCAGGACCAGTGCCTGGGGCTGCTGGAGGGGCTCATCCCAGTGAGTTTTTGGGGCTGAGCTGCTGAGGCAGACGTCAGAACCAGGACACCGCCTGTCCATGGCCTTGTTTTGTCCCTGGCGCTCATTTTTTAGGGGCTGCAGGAAGTTTTATGGGGCTGCCCTGACACCTCCAGCCCACCCCGGACTGTCGGAGGCTCCAGGGGACACCCACCGGGTCCGGCCCCACTGTGCCGTGCCTCTGTGAAAAATCGATTCCGTGACACCGTGCGACTCTGCCAGGCCATGTTAAGCCAGGCTGTGCCGTGCCACGCTGTGCCGTGCCACGTCACGATGTGTTGTGCCATCCTGCATCGCCCTGTGCCGTGCCATCCTGCTCCATGCCGTGCCAAACCGTGCCGTGCCATGCTGCACCAGCACCCCAAGGAGTGGAGAGCCAAAAGCCCCGCCAAGCAGGAGCATCACCGGCCCAGGCTGTGCTGGGGAGGTGAGCGGGGCCCTCCCCGATTGTTTTATTTGTTTTTAATTGTGTTTGAGGAGAGGAGCTGGCGTGCCTCTAAGCAAACAGCAGAGGGTTAAAGGGCTCCCTGTGACAGATCAAATAAATGTGCCATTGCAGCCGGTCCCAGAAACAATAAAACCAAGGCAGGATCTGGAGGGGAGAAACATCAGGCTGTGACGGGAGAAATTCAATTACTGCCAGCCTTCAGCCCCGTGCCGGGCTCCTAATTCGATTAGGGGCAGGCGAGCTCCAGCGCGCGGAGGGGCCTCGGCGCGGCCCCGACTCGGGGCTTTGTCACGGGGAACAAAGCAGCGGTGGCCGGGGGCCCGCGGCACCGTGGCCGGGCGAGCGCAGCACCGGGCGAGCAGCCCAAAATTGTAGCCCTGGCTTGGGAACCGGAGCCACGGTGCCCATGGTGCCCACGGTGCTCACAGTGCCCAAGGTGCCCGTGGTGCCCACGGTGCCCGCGGTGCTCACGGTGCTCACGGTGCGCCCAGCTGCCGGCTGCTGGCACCCACCAGCGCCGTGGTTCTCGCTCGGGCACCGCTGCTGGTGACGGTGAGGGCACAGGCACGAGGTCTCCTCCCCGCTGCCCACCCTGCAGCAGCTCCAGCCCCTGCACCCAGCTCCGCGCTGAGCTCTCGGTGCAGCCCCGGTGTCACCACAACGCAGCCGGGGCTGGCACCGAGGAGCAGCAGGGGACAGAGGGGTTTTTGCACTGAGACCCTTCCCGGAGCACGGGTGTGGGTAAAGCTGGTGCTGGAGACCCCCTGAGGCCCCGCAGTGCCTCCTGTTTCACGGGGACCCCGATTCCTGCGTGCTGACAGCGGGGAGAACGGGCACGGAGCCCTGGTGCCGTGCGTCCCGCAGAGCCCAGCCGGGCTGGGGGCACGGGGAGCCCCCATCCGTGCTGCCGGGACCCCCTGCCCACCTTCCCGGGCCAGGCTGACCCCTGCACCCACCCTGACCCCTCCGAGGTGCCCACCCTGAGCATTGCCACACGTATTGGGGTGGGGGTGCTCAGCCAGCGCGTGGCACTGGGGATGTGACCCCCCCCCTGCCAGCCCCAATTCTCCCTGCACCACCATCAGGATCACCCACATCCCCCCAGCTCCCACAGCCGGCCCCGAGCTCTGGGCTCACCGGGGCCATGGCAAGGTGGGGGCACCCCCGGTGCTGCCCCAGCCCCCCTTTGTCCACTTTCTCCTCTCCCCCTTCATCCCCCCCCCTTCATCTTCCTCCTCCCCTCCCCCTCATTCTGCCCCTGGCTCTGGGTAGCAATAGCAGCAGCTCCTTGCGTGGCAGATTGCTGCCTAATTAGTTTAGAGGGAAAACTTAATTGAATTAACTTTTTCACAACTCCAGCAGCCTGACAGTTGGGGCTCTCTTTCACCAGCCAGCCTCCATCTCCTTGATCTAATTAACTTGTTTAGCAACCTGCCCGGGTCCGGCGCCTGCGCCTCGGCCAGCGCAGCTGGGGGCTCGCCGGGGGGACTGGGCCACCAGCCCCCCAGCCGGCCCGGCCACGGGACACGGGGTGCCCCAGGGACCCCCCGACCTGGTGGAACAGGGGGCTCCGGGATGATTGGGGGCTGTCCCCTGCGAGGGGAGCGTGGCCACAGGTGGGGCAGCGGCTGTGGGGTGGGACGTGGGGCAGGGTGTGGAGAGGGGCGTGGGGCAGGATATGGGGGAGAGTGCAGGGAAGGACACGGCACGGGGCATGGGGAAGGGTGTGGAAGAGGACAGGGGACAGGACATGGCACAGGACATGGCACAGGACGTGGCACAGGACATGGCACAGGACGTGGCACAGGACACGGGGCAGGACATGGGGCAGGACACGGCACAGGACATGGCACAGGACGTGGCACAAGACATGGCACAGGACATGGCACAGGACACGGGGCAGTCACTGGCAGCACATGGTGCAGGATTTGGGGAAGGACGCAGGGCAGGACACGAAGTGGGACACATCCCAGGGCAGCCCCAAGGACATCGGGGGCCAGCTCCTGGTGCCCCACTGTCCTGAGCTGGTGCTGCAGGGGGGGGTCAGGATCCGACCGTGCCTTACACCAGCGCTGATGCTGCAGCCCCCCTCCACCCCCCAGCTGGGCAGGGGGACACAAAGCCCCCGGCCGGGTGCAATTAGACTTTTAAATCCTCTTTAGTGAAAGTGTTTGTCTTGAAAATGTCCCCAAATCCCCCCAAATCCCCCCCCCAGGGTGCCTCTGAAAAGGGGCGAAGCCTTTACCTTGGACGTTGCCATTCAGGGGTGCCCAGCGGGGCGGTAATGAGGCACTGCTGGAATTCAGCCGGGTTGCAAATTTTGGGGGGGGGGGAAACGGGCAGAGAGCCCCCGTGGATGGGATGGGGAGGGGGGAACCCCTCACCCCCTGCTGCCCCCTGCCCAGGCTGAGCCCCCCCCGAGTTTCAGCCACCTTGGCCAAAATCCGGAGCAAGGGGATGGGCGCAGGCTGTGGCTGTCGGGGGGGTGCAGGATGGGGCCCGAGGTGTTTAATTCGGGGCAAAATGCCCAAAGAGGCCTCTGCTCGGCCAGTTGGCCTGGGGAGGGTCCAGAAATGCAGCCCCCCCTCTGGGATAGCCGGGGCTGGAGATGGGCACGAGCCCCCTAAGAGCCATGGGGCACCGGCTTGGCGAGCAGGGAGCCATCGCCCCGTCAGTCTGTCTGTCTGTCTGTCCGTCTGCAGGGCCTTTGGGGTGCAGGGGTTGTGCTGGAGGGGGGGGCACGGGGCTGGGTTCACCCCCCCGGGCCAGGTGGGGGGTGACCTGGTGGTGCTGGGCCGGGCATGGGGGTCCTGGGGTCCCCTCTGGGGTCTGTATGTGGGGGCCGTGGGGGGCTGGGGGCCGGGGAGGTGCAGTGGGATGGGGACAGGACTGGGGGGGGGGGACAGGTGATGGAGGTATGGGGATGGGGATGGGGGAGATGGCAGGGGCAGGGATGTGGGGAATGAGGATGGGGACGGGGATGGGGATGGGGATGGGGATGGGGATGGGGATGGGGATGGGGATGGGGATGGGGATGGGGATGGGGATGGGGATGGGGACAGGGACATGGACGGGGACGGGGATGGGGATGGGGATGGGGATGGGGATAGGAATAGGAATAGGGATGGGGATGGGGACAGGACTGGGGACGTGGTGATGGGGCCGGGGATGGGGACGTGGTGATGGGGACGTGGCAATGGGGACAGACTGGGACAGAGATGGGGCCGGAGATGGGTTCAGGGATGCGGTGATGGGGCCGGGTACAGGAGCAGGGATGGGGCCGGGGATGGCTTTGGGGACACGAGTGGGGACGAGGCCGGGGCCGCTCCCCGACGTGCGCCGCTGCGGGGCCGGGCCGGGGGCTCGGGGAGGGCTCCGGGGAGGGTCCGGGGGTGTGTGTGGGGGTCGCTCCCGATCGTCGGGCACCCGTCGGGGCTCGGGGCCGGGCCGGGCTGGGCGGGCGCCCACGAAGGGTTAAGGGCGGGGGGCGGCGGGGGGAGAGGCGGCTCCGCCCGCTCCTGCTGCGCCCGCGGTCCCCGGGAGATATTGTCATGCAAAAGCCCCCGACGCCGCCAGCCATTGTCTCCCCGTCGCCGGGCCGGTATATTACGGGGCTCGGCGGCCCGGGGCGGGCGCGGCCGTGCATGGAGCGGCGGCCGGGGGCTTCGGGGCCGGGGTCGGCGGGCAGGCGGCCGAGGTAACCGGGGCCGGGGCCGGGCGGCGGCTCCTCCGCTCGCCGCTCCATGTTCGCCATGGACTACTCCTACCTCAACTCGTACGACTCCTGCGTGGCGGCCATGGAGGCGTCCGCCTACGATTTCAGCTCCTGCAGCCAGGCCAACACGTTCCAGTACAGCCCCATGCGGGGGGGCTTCGGGGCCAGCCCGGCCTGCCCCCCCCTCGCCTCCGCCAACTGCGCGCTGGGCGCCCTGCGCGACCACCAGCCCTCGCCCTACTCGGCAGGTAACGGCCGGGCTCCGCCGAGCCGTCGGGGCCCCCGCGCCCCCGCGCCCCGAGCCCCCCGTGCGCCCCCGACGCGCCCCCGGGGTGCCCCGAGCGGCGGCGGCCCCGCAGCCGGGCATGGAGGGGGTCGCCGCCGGGGAGCCCCCTCGCCGAGCCCCGCTTTCGTTGGTGCCGTCGGGGCGCTGCCCGCGGAGGAGCCGCGAACGAAGCGGCCGCGCTGCCGGCACCGGGACCGGCACGGGCACCGGCACCGGCACCGGCACCGGCACCGGCTGCGCTCCCCACCGGCCCCGCTCCCACCGGCCCGGGCCGCCCGGAGCCCCGCGCCCCACCGTAGGGTGGCGGCGACAACGAACGAAAGGGAACGGGGGGCGCGGGGAGGCAGCGCCCGAGCACCGGGAGCGCTCTGAGCGCGCCGGGTCCCTGCCCGGTGCGTCCTGCCCGGTGCGTCCCGGTGCGTCCCGGTGCGTCCCGGTGCGTCCTGGTGCGTCCCGGTGCCTCCTGCCCGGTGCATCCGTGCCCTGTTCCCTTTCCCCTTTGGGTCCCTTCCCGCTGGGTTTTTCGTGGTGCCTCCTGCCCGGTGCGTCCCTGCCCGGTGCATCCCCTCCCGGTGCCGGGTCCCTTCCCACCGGGTCCCCGCCCGGTGCATTCCCTCCCGGTGCACCCTGCTCGGATCAGCCTTCCCGCTGCATCCCCTCCTGCTGCATCCCCTCCCGGTGCTTCCTCCTCATCAGCGGGTCCTGCCCGGTGCGCCCAGCCCGGTGCATCCCCTCCCGGCTCATCCCCTCCCGGTGCGCCCAGCCCGGTGCGCCCAGCCCTGGCCGCCGTGCCGCCCCGCTCACGCCCGGCCTCTCCCTCCCCAGTGCCCTACAAATTCTTCTCGGACCCGTCGGGCATCAACGAGAAGCGGAAGCAGCGGCGGATCCGGACCACGTTCACCAGCTCGCAGCTGAAGGAGCTGGAGAGGGTCTTTGCCGAGACGCACTACCCCGACATCTACACGCGCGAGGAGCTGGCCCTCAAGATCGACCTCACCGAGGCGCGGGTGCAGGTGAGCTGCGGGGAACGGGGCGAGGGAGCTCCTGGTGGAGCCCTTGGGGGGCTCGGGGACAGTGCTGGGACCTTTCTGCTTTGCTCCCTGTTTTTGGGAGGTGTTGGACACAAAGGGATGGGGACCCGGGGCTGGTTCCCGGTGCGGGGAGCTGCGTGCGCCGTCCCCGGGCCGGTCCCCCTGGTAAAACCAGGAGCATTTCCCTGATTATGGTGCAGAGCAGTCCCCAAAACCAGTCAGTGATGGGGCGCAGGGAGGTGGCCCTGGCTCCACCACCTGTTTCCCATCAGCAATTTATTTATTAGAGCCGGGGGGGCAATTTATTGTCTAGAGCAGCATCAGCCCGTGCGGGGATGAGGGGCGCGTTGCGGGCTGGGGCGCCCCACGATCAGCGTGAGCCCCTCTGGATGGGGCCAGGGGCCACGTCCCACAGCAGGAGGGGACCCTCGGTCCCCACCCTGGCTGTCGCAGTGGGAAGACCCCAGCCCCGGGGGTGTCCTGGGTGGGAAGCAGCCGCGTTTCCATCTCTGCTGGCAGCCGTGGTGGTTCCTGTCCCGGCCGTGGGCTGCGGCAGCGTCTGGCACAACCTCGGCTTTCCCCGTGCGAAGGGCAGGGACCTGGGGGGGCACCGGGAACGGGGTGAAGGAGGTGAAGGGTCCTCTAGGACCCCACTCCCCCTGCCCTGCTGCATCCCCCAGCGGTGCCATGGAGCAGCCTGGGGGCAGGGGCACAGCGCGTTCCCCCCCCCAGCTCAGCCCCGGCACCGCCTGCCCTTCATCCCCGTGTCCTGCTGGCAGGATGGATGCTGCAACCATGGGACGGGGGGGCTGCCGACCCCCAGCTCCATGCAGGGGGACGGTGACATCCCCAGCTGGCCGTGGGGACAGGACGGGGCTTGGCTGCGGGGCTGAGCCTGGTGCTGGGGGGGGGAATCCCTAAAGCAGGGAGCGGAGGAGCGAAATCGGCGCGGTCCTGGCTCCCGGCACAGGGACGGAGCCGTCGGGAATTTTCCTCTGCCTGGGTTGGGCAGAGGAAAATTTATTTTGTTTACCCTTTTATTATCTGTTTTTTTTGGCACGTTGGTGAGGGGCGAGCATGTGCCGGGGGGGGCTCTGTCCCCAGCAGTGCCCCCCTCCCCTCCCCGGCTGTGCGCGTCCGGGTGTCCCCGCAGGGCGCTGCTGGTGCAGGGCTGCGGCACCAGCGCCGAGTGGGGAAAGCGCACAGAGAGCCCCGGAGCTTTCAGAAAATTAATTTTAAATTGTATTTAACCATTTAATTCGTTAAATAACCATTGGGAACTTTGAAATACTGCACCCTGGTGCCATCCCGGAGCCGGGAGCGGGGGCGTTGTGGAAAATATTTCGGCTGCGGTTGGGGCTGTGCAGGCAGCGGGGCCGTGAGCGGCAGCAGGGGAGAGACCCCCGCAGAGCTGTTTGTGCTGTGGGGTCTCCAGCACTGCCCCGAACCTACAGGAATTGTGGTGTTGGGTCTGTCCGGGTGATCCCACCCCGAGCTGGATGCACGCAGGGGGGGGGCAGCCCCCATTAAGCCCCCCGCAGCCCCTGCTGGGTGCCCCCACAGCCGGGCACGTCACTCGCTGCCCTCGCACACTCCGCTTCCATCGCCCGCCTGCAGCCAATTCCCCCCCCCGTGTATTTGGGGTCAGTGCTGGGCTCCTAGTGGGGGGTGTCCCAGGGTGCACGTCCCCAGCGCGGTCCTGGTTTGGGGTCACCAGGCCCCGGGCTGGCGCCTGACCTGCTTTCCTTGGTGTGTCCCACCCTGTCCTGTCCCATCCCCATCCCCATCCCCATCCCCATCCCCATCCCCATCCCCATCCCCATCCCCATCCCCATCCCCATCCCCATCCCCATCCCTGTTCTTTCCCATCCCCATCCCATTCCATCTCCATCTGTATCTCATCCCCATCCTAATCTCATCCCATCCCAATCCCCTCTCCATCCCCATCCCATTCCCACCTCTATCCCATCCCCATCCCAACCCCATCCCTGTCCCATCCCATCCCCATCCCCATTCTTTCCCATCCTCATCCTCATCCCATCTTCATCTATATCTCATTCCCATCCTCATCCCATCCCAATCCCCTCTTCATCCCCACCTCTATCCCATCCCCATCCCCATCCCATCCCCATCCTCATCCCATCCCATATCCCCATCCCCATCCCACCCCATCTCCATCTCCATCCCCATTCCCATCATATTTCCATCTATATCTCATCCCCATCCCATCCCAATCCCCTCTCCATCTCCATCCCATCCCCATCTCCATCTCCTCCTCATCCCATCTCCATCCCCATCCTTTTCCACCCCCATCCCATCTCCATCTCCATCCCATCCCCATCCCATCCCAATCCCCTCTCCACCCCCATCCCATCTCCACCCCCATCCCCATCCCCATCCCATCCCCATCCCATCCCCATCTCTATCTCATCCTCATCCCATCCCCATCCCCATCCCATCCCCATATCCCACATCCCCATCCCATCCCCATCCCATTGCATCCCAATCCCCTCTCCATCCCCATCCCCATCCCCATCCCCATCCCCATTTTTTTCCATCCCCATCCTCACCCATCCCCATCTCATCCCCACCCCACCCCATCCCCATTCCCCTCTTCCCCCCCCCAGGTCTGGTTCCAGAACCGCCGGGCCAAATTCCGCAAGCAGGAGCGCGCGGCCAACGCCAAGGGCTCGGGCACCGGCGGCGGGGGCGGCAACGGCAGCGCCGGCAACGCCGCCACCAAGAAACCGGAGCCGCGCTCGTCCTCGGAGGACGACGAATCCAAGGAGTCGAACTGCAGCCCGACCCCCGACAGCACGGCCTCGCTGCCCGCAGCCGCCAACCTGGGCAGCCCCGGGGGTAGCCTGAGCCCCAGCCCGGGCGGGGGGCAACCTTTGGGGTCCGGCCACCACCCCCCGCAGCCCCTCAAGGCGCCTCCGCTGTGGCCGGGGGTCAGCACCAGCAGCGGTGCCGCCAACACGGCCGAGCTGCTGAAAGCGTGGCAGCCGGCCGAAGCCATGCCCGGACCTTTCTCCGGCGTCCTCTCCTCCTTCCACAGGAAGCCCAACGGCCTCAAGACAAACCTCTTCTGATCCAAAATTCCCCCCCCAAACCCCCCCTTCATCCTCCTCTTCCTCCTCTTCCTCGCCCACCCAGCTTCTGCCCCTCGCCCCCCGCTCCCCCAGCGCCCCGGGGACCCCGCGGTGCCGCCCCGCAAACCGCTGCTGGAGGGGGCCAGGATGGGTCCCCCCCCCCTCCACGTCCCCATCCCTGCGCAACCCCGGACCCCCACCCTGGCTCCCTGGGGGGCTGAGGGACCCCCACCCTCACCCGGACCCCCCCGGGATGCTCCATTTTTTTTTTTGGGGGGGGGGGCACAGCTCCATGCGCCCCCTGCCCAGGGTGCCGCCGGCACCGCGGATGCTGCAGGAGCAGGGGGGGAGCGCAGGGGGGGTCAGCAGCCCCAGGACAAATTTTTTTTTGGGGGGGGGGGCTGCAGCCACCCCCAGCCCGGATGAGGTGCCCCAGGCGTGCCCATCGCTCCTGCACGTTTTGGGGGGGGGGGGGATGCTGGTGCCCCCCCCCCCCCCAATTCCCCCCCCCCTCCATTTCTCCCGGGGGGGCTCGGCAGCACTTTAGGGTTCAGGATTCCAGGGGGCTGGGGGGAGGTGGGGGGGGAGCACGGGGGGGGGGCTCAGAGCGGCACTGAACTTTTTTTTTTTGGGGGGGGGGGCGCACTGGGAGCACCGCACCCCCCAGCTGTGGGGGGCGATGCTGGGGTCCCCCAGCCCATGGACACGAAGCTGCCCCCCCCCCTCCACGCACTGGGGCTGGGGGCACAGCCCCCCCCCACCTCACCCACCCCGGGGGGGGGCAATAGGGTTTTGGGGGGGGGGCACAGGGCAGAGCTGGGGGGGGCTGGGAACTGCGGTGGCTGTGAGCGAGGGGTGGTGCCCACCAAGGTGCCCCCCCCCCCAAATCCGGGTCAGGGACCCCCCCCGGCCCCCCCCCATGTGTGTGTGTGTGCGTGTCCGTGTAGCTTCCCCAGCGCAGGCAGGGCGCGTGGCACCGGGATTTTGGGGGGTTTTGGGGGGTTTTGGGGGGGGGGGTCCCAGCCACCCCCTGCCCTCACACCCCCCCCCCCCCCCCATTGCGGTGGCTCCCCGGGGACCTCTCCGGCTGCTGGATGAGGTTTTGGGGTTGGTTTTTGTTATTTTTGTTATTTTTGGTTTTTTTTATTATTATTTTTTCTTTTTTTAACTGTTCTGTAATTTATTGAACCCGTTTGCAAATTATACTAATCCAAATAAAACTTAATTTATTGAAGAAGCCCCCAGGCTCCCTGCCCCCCCCCCCCTCACCCCCCCCCAAACCCCCCCACATCCCCCCCTCACCCCTCCTGGGGGGGGGCCCCAAACCCTTTTTGGGAAGGGGGGGGGGGCCACTGAGATTTTCCCCATTAAAAGCCCCCAACCCCCCCCCAGGCAGCTGCAGGGACCTGGACCCCCCCCCCCCAGAAGTGATGGGGGGACAGAGGTCGTGCGCCCCCCCTGGGACCAGTATGACCAGTCTAAGGGATCCTGCACCATACTGGGACCAGTATAAGGGGCTGTGCTGCACTGGGACCAGTAACTGGCCAGCATGGGAGGAGGCTCTGGGGGGGGGCAGAGGGGGGGTCCCACAGCAGGAGGCGAATGGAGCACACGAGGCTGTTTATTTGGGGAGGGGGGGGTACAGGCAGGGGTCCGGGGGGGAGGGGGGGGGCAGCTCCTCATCCTCGCCCTTCTCCCCCTCTCCTCGGGGGTCCCAGGAGCAGGGCGAGGCGCGGGGGGGGGGGCGTTAAATTAAAACGTTACAAAAATAGCTCGTGATTTTACAAAAAACGGGGGAAAAAAGGGAAAAAAAGGGAAAAAAAACACAGAGCACGACACGACAGGGGGGGGCTTGGCAGGGTTGGGGTCACACCAAACGCCCCCCAGGCTAAAAATGAACGGGGGGGGCCCGGCGCATCCTTCATCTCGGCCGGAGCGGGGGGGGCAAAAAATGGGGGGGGGGACACTGGGGGTGGCTTCGTGCCCCCCCCCCCAGCCCCCCAAACCCCGGCACTTGTGGCTGGCAGAGCCCCGGGGTGCGCCCCCCCCCCCCAAGGGGCAAGGCACGGCCCCGGGTCCCAGCTCGGGGCCCTGGGGGGGGGGCTCAGGGGGGGCTGAGCTGGGAAGGGCACTTGGTGAGGGGCCCCCCCCCAAAAAAAAAAACCCAAAACCTCCCCACGGCCACCACGGAGGGGACGGAGCCGGGAGTACCGAACGCAGCGGGGGCACCGCGGAGGCACGAGGGGGGGGGCGAGGGGCAAAAGACCCCTGGTGGGATGCTCGGGGTGGGGGGGGGACACCCAGAATCGTGGGGGGGGCACCCAGGGGAGCTGGGGGAGCCTCCCCAGCCCCTGGGTGCACGCAGTGGGTGGGTGCCCCCATCCCATGGGTACCCCATCCTGTGGGTGCCCCCATCCCCATTCCGTGGGTGCCCTCCCCCCTTGGGTGCCCCCCCCCCACGGCGTCAGAAGGCACTTGGGTACCAGCCCTGCACGCACTGGGCTGTAACGGGACCTCTTCTTCCTCCTCCTCCTCCTCCTCCTCCTCCTCCCCCCCCCCCCCCGCCGGGGGCTGCGCTGGGAGCAGGGGGCACCCAGCCCTCTCCGGACACCCCCAGGGCTCCCCCCCTAATCCCCACCCCCCTCAAAAAAAAAAAAAAAAAAAAAAAAGCAGGACCACCCCCGGCTGAGCGCGTGCCCCTTCTCCCAATAAATAAGAAATAACTTAAAACGCTGGGGGGGCCCCCACCTTAGGGGACCCCCCCGTGAAATTGTCTGACCAGCACCCGCCGCCCCCTCGCCCCTGTGCTTTGCCCCCCAAGTGTCACCCCAATGCCCTGGGGGGGGGGGCTGCTGGTGATGGGGGGGCGCTGCTGGTGATGGGGGGGGGGCTGCTTATGATGGGGGGGTCCCCGGAGGGGGGGGGGGTCCCGGCTACTTTCTGAGCTGCAGGCTCTCCAAGAGGACGCGCTTGTGGCCGGGGTCGAGGACGCCAGCCTCCTCCAGGTCCTCCTCCGTGATATCGCTGCCGATTTGGGGAGGGGGGGGGGACACCGGGGTCAGGCACCCGGTGACCCCCTGACCCCATGGGTGTCCCCCCCCCGGTGCTTGCCCCCACCTGAGGAACTCGAGGTCGTCCCAGCCGTTGTGCAGCAGCCCCTGCTCGTACCGCTCCAGCCCCATGGCGCGCAGCCACTCACCCACGCTGGACTCGCCGGCGCCCGCGCCGCGAGCCACCTGGCACAGAGCCTGGAAAGGGGGGGGCAAGGGGGAAAAGGGGGTGTGTGTGGGGGGAAAGGGGGTGTAGGGTGGGCAAACAGGGGGCCAGGGGGGTGGAAATTGGGGTTAGGGGGTGGAAATGGGGCGCCAAGGGGGTGGAAATGGGGCGCAAAGTGTGCGCACCCCGTGCCGTGCGCCTCTGCGGTGCCACATTCCCAGCGCACACCTCCCATCCCCAAAATCCCCCATCCCCAAAAGCCCCATCCCCCAAAACCCCATTCCCCGAAAACCCCCATCCTCAAGAACCCATGCCCCAAAGTCCCCTTCCCCGAAACCCCAAAGCCCCCAAACCCCCAGCCCCCAAACTGCATCCCCCCAAGCCTCATCCCCAAAGCCCCCATCCCAAAAACCCCATTCCCCAAATCCCATCTCCAAAGCCCCATCCTCCAAAGCCCCAGTTCCCCAAAACCCCATCCCCCAGAAACCCCATTCCCGAAACCCCCATCCTCAAGACCCCATCCCCAAAGCCCCCTTCCCCGAAACCCCATCCCCAAAGCCCCCAGCCCCCAAAACCCCGTTCCCGAAACCCCAGCCCCAAGACACCTGTCCTCAAGACCCCTGTCCCTGAAGCTCCTTCCCCCAAACTCCATCCCCCAAAACCCCCATCCCCAAAGCCCTCAGCCCGCAAACCCCCAATTCTCCAAATCCTCATCCCCAAGTCCCCAATTCCCCAAATCCCCATCCCTCAAAACCCCATCCCCAAAACCCCCTTCCCCAAAACCCCCATTCCCAAAATCCCCTTCCCCAAAGCCCATCTCCAAGACCCCATCCCCCCAAAACCCCCATCCTTGAAAACCCAGCCCCAAGACCCCCATCGCTGAAACCCCTTCCCCAAAACCCCCATCCCCCAAAAACCCCATGCCCCAAAGCCCCCAGACCCCAAACCTCCAGCCTCCAAACCCCATCCCCAAAGACCCAATTCCCCAAAACCCCATTCCCCAAATCCCATTCCCAAAGCCCCATCCTCCAAAGCCCCAGTTCCCCAAAACCCCATCCCCAAAGCCCCGTTCCCCAAATCCCATTCCCAAAACCCCATCCCCCAAAACCCCATCCCCAAAGCCCCCTTCCCCGAAACCCCAATCCCCAAAACCCCATCCCCCAAGCCCCCATCCCCAAAAACCCATTCTCCAAAACCCCCATCCCCCAAAGCCCCAACCCCACTCCGTCCTGGGCAGGGGTGCTTGGGGACCCCCAGGGCTGTGCCCCCCCCCCACCATCCCCAGCTCAATTTTGCGCCCCCAGCCCCCATCACACCACCCCCAAACCACCCCCCTATTGCCCCCCCCCAAACCCCACATCCACCCCCCCAGCACCCCAGGAACAGAGCCGGATGGGGGGGATGTCAGCAGCCACCAACCCCCCCAAAAACCAACCTGGGGTCCCCACGCCGTGCCCCCCCCCCGTGCGCCCCCCCCAAAACCCACCTCCTCGGCCAGGTCCTCCTCGATGCTCTCCCGGATGCAGTGGGGGGGGAAGGCGAGGGGGCGGCCGTAATCGGGGTGCAGGCAGCGGGGGGGCAGCTCCAGACGCCCCTTACCCAGCAGCTGGGGGGGGACGGGACCCCCCCGTGCCCCCCCCTCCCTGCCCCTGCCGTAGTCCACCTCGCTCAGCGTCTTGGCCATCTGCAGCACGGAGCACGAGCGGTCGTCCCGCAGCCCCCCCCCGGTTACCGGGGGGGTCCCCGCGGGGGTCTCCATCCCGAATCCGGCCGCCCCGGTGGGCAGGGGGGGTCTGGGGTGCAGTTTGGGAGGGGGGGGCTCGCAGGACGCGCCCCCCAGCAGCTCCTTGGCGCTGGCGTAGAAGGGGTTCTCGGCCACCTCCAGCTCCCGGGGCAGCGGTGGGGGGGGGAAATCGGGGGGGGGCAGAGCCCCGGGGCCGGGGTCTTCATCTGAGGAGCTCTCCTCAGCGCGGCTGGGCGGGGGGGGCCCGGCCGAGGGGTGCCGGCGGCGTTCGGGGGCCCCCCCCTTCCCCTTGGGGACGGGGGGCTTGCCGGGGGTGTCGGGGGCCAGCAGCTGGTGGGGGACCCCCTCCAGCACGTAGTAGGCGGGGTTGTTGAAGCTGTTTTTCAGTGGCCCCCCCGACGGCTCCGCTGGGGGCTCCGGCTTGGATCTGAAGGCAAAAGGGGTGATTTGGGGGGGGGGGGGCGCGTGACCCCTGACCCCTAACCCTAACCCTAACCCTAACCCTG